CCTGTGCTAGGACTGGATCTGGGGGTTCCTGGAACACAGCAGAAATTGTATATATACCAATTTTGATAATAAACCTTTTTTTTAAAATAAGAAATGATACCTCAAAACTGCAATACTGGTCCAAACTTCTGGTTTTTACTTTCCATTTAAAGCAAGAAACATATGCGAGCACTAGCAGCCATTATTTGATCCAAGACCCTAACTTCTTAATTCGAAAAGCACTTGCAAAGAAAAACAGTGGTGGGGATAAGGAGGAAAGGGAAATGGAAGCGATTCATACCACAATAACTGGAATCCCTTAAGTATGGACGCCAGGTCTCATGAAGCTGTTGTTTAAATTTATCCTTTACTTGGTCACTTTTGTTTCCTCAAATATTTTTCTTTGACGTTTTATCTTCAGAGTCTAAAAAGTATGAAATATAAACAAGCTCTTGCACTGCACACTTAGAAGTGTACAATTCACGCACTATAGAGCTACCTATATACTGATAAATCCCATCAAATCTTGGATAATTCAAAATTATACAAAATATCAGGGCACAGAAAGAACTAAAACCCACTTCTTTTTATTACACATAAGATTCAAATATTCAATCTAAAGAAAAAATCAATTTGGCTCTGTTTTACATCTCCATGTTGATATTATTAAAATACTCCTGTATGATCATGTTTGCTCTTACTGTTTCATGTCAGGCTTAAAACCTCAAAATGCTAGCCATCCAGACAAAACAGGATATCAGAAAGATTATCTCTTCTCCACCTCCCTAACCCCAACAGCCTGATTTTACAACATGATTCCAAACACTGGATTGTGATGACAAATGCTAGGTCCAATTTCTTCATAATCCTTTTTGGTGTGCATACATGGTAGAACTCAGGTGTGGAAGCCAGCCTTGATCCTCCAAACCAAACTGCATATCGCTGCATATGGTGTGTGATAACTTGTACATCAATTGGTTTTGGCTTCAATCTATTGCCACTCAATTCCTCACTGAATTTCAGCCTGGCATCTACAGCTCTTTTGAGATCTCTTTGCAAGTGGCGTCCAAAGTCCCTGAACATGGTTGGGCCTCCAGAGAGGATAATATTCTTGTTGAGAGAACATCAGACATCAATAGGACAATTCTGAATTACTTCATCTACAACTTCTGAAATAGGTTGTGTGAAGTCTGAATTAGCAAACTCAGGATGAAAAAAGATTTCAGGTCCCAAGAATCTCTCATAACCAACATCAATGGAAAACTCTTTCTTTGACATGGCATTGATTCCAGTATACTGTTTAATACATTTTGATCCATCTGTGTCATACTTGTTAAACTCTTTTACTAAATCTGGGCATACATAACTATAGCACTCCTTTACTGCCTTAGCAGTTTCCAGAGATTGTTCTGGAGGGATTCCTACTTCTCGATCTCTCAACAGCTGGATGTTATATCTCATCCCACAATTGCAATATGCTTAAAAATACAGCTGCCAATCACATACCCTTCAGCCACAGGAATAACATGAGTAACACCATCACCGCTGTCTATTTCTGTACCAGTCAATGTTCGTTCTCCAACTTGGCTTGAGGTCTAGGATGCAGCTAAGGCAAGAACAGCCTGCACATCAATGTACAAGCCTGGAACACTGAAGGACTCAAACATTATTTCAGCAGTATATTCCCTGTTTTCTGTAGTATTCAGTGGAGGTTCAGTCAAAAGAAAAAAATGGTCTTCAGGTTCTGCTCTTAAATATTTAAAGATCACTTCCTCTGTAAACCTTTCCATTAAACCCCAATCTTCAAGTACACCATGATGAATTGGCCCCTTTGTTGCATATGTAGGTTTTTCTATTGCTTTATCACCAATGAAGAAGTCTAAATCATCAACACCTTTCATCACCCTCCTCTGATCTTGGTCACCTACTTTTGCTGACTCTTTAATTGCAATGCAGGAAGGGATGATAAACTGTGGTTCTGTATTTCCAGCATATCCTAGTTTTGTGTATCCCGATCCACAGTCCACCACCCTCGCCCGCTGTTGCCACTGCCGCTGACATCTGCTCCATGTTGCTTGGGGCCAGGAACCGGCTGCAGGAGATGGGAGCTATCTGAGCATCCACAGCTGGGCTGCACTCTCTCCCAGGGGGAGCTGGGAAGCGGAAGCAGTAGCCAGAAAGCAGGCTGGGTCAGCGGCTACCACTTCCCCAACTGGTCGGGCAGGGAGTCCCCATCTTTCCCCACCGTGGCCTCCTCCCCTTCTTTCTACCCTCCTCTCCCTCCTGCTCCCACTGTACAACTTTAGATCATATTTTAGACCAGAAAAAAAATCAAAAGACAGAAAAATCTGAAATAATTTATTACATTTTATCAGATAACAGTGGAATGAAAACTAGCAGTTGATAGTGAGAGAAACCGCAGAAACTACACAAACACATGGAAATTGAATAGTTCACCTCTGGACAATCAGTGGATTATTGAAGAAATAAGGGAAGAAATGATAAAAACACTAGAATCAAATGAAAGTGAAAATATAGCATAGGAGAATCTCTGGGATATAGCAAAGACAGTGGTAAGAGTTTATAATTTTGTGCATATAAAAGCCAGAAGTTTCAAATAACAATGCATCTTAAGGTTCTGGAAAAAACAAACTGAAACTAAACTCAACAGAAAAGGAAACAATATAGGTGAGACCTAGAATTATTGAGATAGAAACATAGGCAACAATACACAGGATCAATGAAACAAAGAATTGTTCTTTGAAAAAATAAACCTTCACCCAAATGAACTCCCTCAAAAGGCCCAAATCAATACAATTAGCTTTTTTTTTTTGAGTTTTCAATATTTTATTCAAGTTTTAAGTGATGTTAATTACAGCATTTTAAGGGAAGGATCTAATTCTGCACAAAATGAAAGACTCTGAAATGTACCAAATAAACCACTGAAAAATAAACTGAGTGGTAAGAAGAACACAATGGCTGCACGATTTAGATTCCTAGTGTCGCCACAGTGTGACCACAGTCATGCACACTTCCCACCTTGCAGCTGGTACACACTGGTGTGAGGGCAAAAAACCACAACATGAAGATGAATGAAATTCTGAATGATTGGCTTCATTACATCCCCCTCTCCACCCCAAAATGGCACAAAGAAACAGCTACTGCACCCTGTGGACTACTTTTGGTGTAGAAGAGGTGATGAGGGGTTGGGGTGGAAGCAGGGTGTGAAGGTCTGTCTAACAAAGTCCCTTTCAAAACTTGAAGCATTTATATTTAAGTGGATGGCACTTGAAGATATACTCATAAGTGAAATAAACCAGACACACATGTGTAAATATTGTATAGTTTCCCTAGTATAAGAACTCAAAAGAAGAAATACAAATAGAAAGGTATAATACAACTAAAAGGAAAGCAAGAACTTGAGCACTAAACAATTCAGAGAGGGAAAGGAGAAGAGCTAGAAAACATGACAGTGACAAGCCATACAGTTATATATAGAAGATGGGCAAGGCAATGATCCTGAGAATCTTCAGAAGATTTTTGAATCTAGCAGTTAATTGGAAGGATTCTCCACCTGATTAACTATATGTAGTGACACCTGTGAACTAAGCAACTGCACTGAAGATGGTAATTTGTAATAGTAGGTTCATGCTTGGATTGCCTGTCATTCTGGTCTTCTGAATACAAGCCACTTGTCATGACATGCCAGTTGCTACTATGCTGTCTCTCAGGTAGATGATTTTTCAGAAAGGAAGGGGGTGGTAAATGAAGGCAGGAGACAGGAAAAGGAATGTTGCAGGACTGTCCTGCTACAATGTTGTATATGATTAGATCTCTGGACTTATGTGTAAACATAAGAATTATATAATTCTTAATGCCTATTTTTAAAATATATTTTAATTTTTTTAATATTTTTTCATCATATTCTGTAGGGACTGAAAGTTCAACATATCAATACTTGATGAAAAATACCTGTTCCATGTTATGCCTAAGATGTTTGGGGGGCCTGGCCCTAGCTCAGGCCTTTAAGTGGCTGCTTCCACAAAGCTGTCAGCCTCAGGTGGCTGGAGTTCGAACCTCACACCTCTCCCGC